TATCATGAAATAAATGGTACTAAAGTAAACTTAAGAGTTTTCTTTGGTAGTTTAATTCTGTAAGTTGATTCTTTTTTAAAAAATTTCACATTTTGCTAGCATCTCAGTATCCCCCAGCCCCTTTTGGTATAATTAAGGTTAATATATTATACATACATAATCGGGCTCAGAATTTTTTAAACTAATAAGAACTGTGTTTTTTTCTACCTGAACATACTTTTAGTTGTAAAGGGGCTAGGGCTATAAAACCAAGATATAATAAAATCTATTGAAAAATGCAATTTAACCTAAGCTAGATGTATCATCTAAAAAAGTTGAGAATGGGAGCAAGATAAAATGAACATGACTATAAATGTTAGCTTTCATTCTACTCATCTTCCTTTTCTGCTTATGTATTGGTTAGCTGTTGGTGCATAACCACCAATTACCACAAAACTGCAGCTTCAAAGAACATTTACTATCTCATAGTTTCTTTGAGTAAGAAATTTGGGAGCAACTTAGCTGAATGGTGTTCCTTAAGTACAGTTCCTCTCGTTGTGAGGACCCATGAACTGAACAGACAAATTATCTGCCCTACACACAACCAAAATACAATGGTAGGACAGGCAGAGGATAACTGTTATAAAACTTCTGGTTCAGAATAAGAGAAAATGGAGTCACTGATCCAAAGTAATTCTGTAATCAAGGTGGGAACACGATAGAAGTTCCTTGAATATGGGAATAATTCTCCATAGCTCTTGGCTCTGCCCTTTGAGATTTTGGTTCTATTTCTGAGTTATCTTTCCGTTTTAAGAAAGGAAGTCCATGTTTACAATGTAAAATGTTTTTCAACCTGCTTCTTGCCGGTAAAATTCTGGGGATCCAAGGGGCCGCTCCTCAGACTGGTAATATTTCTACTAATTAACTCTTTTGAAAACTTTGTGGGTCTCTTGGGAATCTTACTGGGATTCACACTCTGTTAGACAAAAAGCACAGTCACAATTCTGAGACAAACTCTTCTCTACTTTAAATTTCTGCTGAGGACACCCTTAATCTGCTTTAAGCCCTCTTACTTTGATTGAAAGGTTCTCTGAGGCTCACATTACATCTTTCTGAGGTTTTAACAAAGGATTTTATAGTCACACCACTGGCTTCATCTTTAGACAAACCTATTCTGAGAGTGCCCAGGATATGATCTTTGCCTGGAAGCCATTTCCTAATTTTAGCATAGTTCGACATATTGAGACGATGAGAATTTTCCAAACCACCAAGTCCTGGTTCTTTTTGTTTGCTTAGGAGCCCTTCCTGAGCCTATTTCTCCCATCCACGGCTTTACCATAACCAGAAGTAGTACATTTTCTACTTCACTTATTACTACAGGTGACAGTGTTGCTAAACTTTCTGCTACTATATACTAAAGTGCTATATATATACTAAAGTGATTTCCTTTCTTTCAGTTTCCAATATGGTGTTCTTCATTTTCATTTAAGACCTCATCAGCAGTCTCCTCAAAGGCTTAACTTTAAGCTTCTATCTACTGTCCCCAAGTTCAAATTATATGCCACATTTTGAAGTATTTGTTATGGCAGCACCTCATTATTATGGGTAGCAAAATCTCTATTAGTAACCAATTACCCCAAACCTAGAGGCTTAAAATGAAATTTGTTATTTTACAGTTTCTGTAGGTCATGAATTCAGGAACAGCTTAATGAGGTGGTTCCAGCTCACAGTCCCTAGGGAAGTTACAGTTAAAACATCAACCATGACTGCAGTCATCTGATGGCTCATTTGGGGGTGAATGACTTGCATCCAAGATGGCTCATTAACATGTTTATTGTCACAAAACTTCAGTTCCTCACCACAAGCACATCTCCATAGAGTTGCTTGAGTGTCTCCATGACATGGCAGTTGGCATCCTCCAGTACAGGGGATCTAAGAGAGCCAGAAAGAAGCTGCAATATCTTTTATGGCCTACCTTTGGAAGTCATACTCTTGTCATTTCTACCATATGCTCCTTATTAAAAAACAACCCAGTAAGTATAGCGCCCACTCAAGGGGAGGAGAATAAGATTCCACCAAAAGGAATATAATTTAAGAATCTATTTTTAAAACACCACAGTAAGTAAAAACCAAGAACTAAAACTTGATATAAAAATTGCTCTTAGTGAAATTACACTTACATGGAAGCCTATTTTAGAGTCTCTAGTGACAATGCACATTTTCTATTTTATTATGAAAGTAAAAACCAAGAAAGTGCTTTAGTGTATAATGAAGCTAAAATATAAATAACTCTTTTAGGTGTGTGTGTGTACGTGTGTGGGGGGGGGTGGGGGTGTGAGAGGGGAGGGAGAGGGGGGGGGGGAGAGAGAGAGAGAGAGAGAGTGTGTGTGTGTGTGTGTGTGTGTGTGTGTGTGTGTGTGTGTATATGTAACCTGCTGGACTGGGGGCAGTGGAGAGACCTTACTATGAAGCAGAGATCCCAAGGAGCTAACAACAGATTAACTACTCCTTGCTTTGGTTATACAATAATTATCTCTACTAGCCATTGATGGCAATATGCACAAAGTCTTGCAAACAATTAAGTCCTGTAAAAGTTTTTCCTCTATACAGTGCTATATATAGAAATGAAGTAAAACCAAAGCAGAATGTTAAAAAATTCTTTTTAAAGTTGAATTTTAACCAAATTTACTCTCTTCACAGGGAGCAATTCAGAAAATGTTTCCCCATTTCCAGCTCCATATTCTCATTGATACCAGAACAGAACTTTAGGAAACACTTAACTATAAAAAGTATACTTATTTTGCATTTTATTACTTATTTCTTATACCTAATTAACTGAAACTGAGTTTTTAAAATAATAATTAACCATCAATAAAATAAACAGATTCGTATATTAAAACACAAATAAGAACTCTTAAATGTACAATAAGGATAATGGGTTAGGATACATCTATTGAAAACAAATTAGATAGACACAAAAAAATTGTAAACTTGAAAAAATATTTAAGGTTACAAAATATCATTATGTATTTAAGTGAAAAAAAAAGCTAAAGAATAATGATATCATAATAACACATGTGTACCCATTTATTTGTCCAGAAAAAAACTCAGAGGCTATATTTAAAAATACATATGGGACTTCCCTGGTGGTCCAGTGGCTAAGACTCTGTGCTCCCAATGCAGGGGGCCCAGGTTCGATCCCTGGTCAGGGAATTAGATCCCACATGCTGCAACTAAGACTTTGCATGCAGCAACTAAAGATCCCATGTGCCACAACTAAAGATCCTGCATGCAGCAACGAAGATCCTAAACGCGGCAACAAAGATCTTGCGTGCCGCAGCTAAGATCTGGAGCAGCCAAATAAATAAATATTTTAAAAAATATGTATGATGGTTATCATGGATGGTAGCATATCTATGTTTTATTTTTTGAACTTTACTATATTTCTCAAATTTTCAGAAATAAAAACCATTTTTATTTTCTGATTATAAATGTACATAAAACATTTTGCCATGTCCTTTAGGTGATGACTATTTTTACAATAATATGAATAATTGATTATTAATACAAGGTATACATATAAATTTGGGCTCTTTCACTATTCTCCTAAAAGTATTAATACTTTAGGAAATTAAAAGTACTAAAAAGAAAGCCATATAGCTCAGAATCCCACAATCCAAAAGTAACAAATTTAACATTTTAGCTGAGTAACAATGGGTGACAACACCATATAATTATCTGTTTTTACTACTCAATACACTGCAAGTAGATTAATAATAAAATTTTTAGTGGTCGCATGACAAAGATACCTTAATTCTACCATTTCCACTCCATTTACATAGCTTATTTTTTATTATCAATATTTCATACACACACACCCAAAAATCTGTGTATACAAATTTTTTGTGTATCTCTATTTCCTTAAATTGATTCACTGGATCAATAGGTATGAATTTTTTTTTTTTTAAGATTTTTTTTTTTTAAATGTGGACCAATTTTAAAGCCTTTATTGAATTTGCTACCATACTGCTTCTGCTTTGTTTCGGCTTTTTGGCCACAAGGTATGTGGGATCTTAGCTCCCCGACCAGGGATCGAACCTGAAATATTGGAAGGGGAAGTCTTAACCATTGGACCACCAGGGAAGTCCTCTTTCTATTTTTAAGGGTTTTAAATACATTATTACCAAACTGCTTTCTAAAAAGAATCTACCAATCTATATTTTCTAGCAGAGCACCAATCTGTCAACCTCATGGAAAGACACAGTCTAGGGTAATATTAATTTTTAAATCTTTGATAATTTCATAACTAATGTTAATTTATACTACCTGCTGATTACTAGTGATATAAAACAGAAGGGTGTCCATATGCTTATTAATAATTTGAAATTACTTTTCTACGAATTTTTAATACAAGTACCTTGCCTATGCGGTGGGGTATCTGTGATGGTTAATTTTATCTGTCAACTTGGCTAGGCGATGGTGGCAAGTGGTTTGGTCAAACACCAGTCTAACTACTGTGAAGGTAATTTTCATATGTGACTAACATCTAAATCAGAGACTCAGAGTAAAGGAGATTATCCTCCATAAAGTGGGTGGACTCATTCTGGAAAGACTTAAAGAAAAGACTGAGGTCCCCCAAGGAGGAAGGAAGTCTGCCTTGAGGCTGCCTTCTGACTCAAGAGCAAAACATCAACTCCTGCCAGAACTTCTGGGATGCCTGCCTACCTGCTTACCCTGTGAATTTCGGACTGGCCAGTTCCCACAGTCACATGAGCCAATTCCTTAAACAAACAAACCGAACAAAATCAAGTCCTCTTTATACATATTAATAAATACATACATATATATGTATATATATATATACATACACACATTCTATTGCTTCTGTTTCCCTGTATTTCCTGACAAATACAGTGACCAGAAATTTCTTAAGAATTTATATGAATTGTTTATTTATTAAGGCTAGTGATTTCCTCCACAACCTTTATGCCTAGAAATTCCTTTTAATCCAAACTACTTACTTGTAAGTTGTCTTCTGCTCCTTCAGTTTCATTTTTAAATGCTGGGCATCCTAAGAAAATGGGTAAAAGTTAATTAAGCATAGTATTTTTGTTTTAGATTTTAGTATTGCTGACTCATTGATAATATCACTATGATACTGTAGAAGACTAATCAGAGATCATTCTGGACTGCCTGGTAACCAGTCAGATGTTGGTCACTCATACTTGCCCCTCTGTTAGACAAACAGAGAATAAAGCAATTGTTTTCCTCTTCTACAGGTAAATTTCCAGTTACTTACTTAAAGAGGTGTTTTCTGTGAAAGTACGCTATCTCTGGCAAGCCCTGCCTCTGATTTCTCTCAAATACTGAAACTGCCAGGAAAAGTATATGCACCACACTCTTCTGGTGTTTAGGTAATGCCCACGTGATTTATTCATTTTTTCTAAGTACTCTGACCCAGGAAACGGTATTAGTACCCCCAACTAGGATTTTAGTAGCTTTAGTAAGGAAAAAAAATGAGCCTTAATCCACTGTTGATAGTCAATAGCCAATTGTTGCTATTGACTTTTGTGTACCAATGCCTCTATATAAGTTTTCATGGCGTTCAAGAGTGCCTTTAGTTCCAATAAATTAATAAGGAAGGATTTACCTTAGCAAAGTATTCTGAGTTTATGCTACCCTTGAGACATAGCTATCATGGAGATGAAGAGAAAACTGCTCTATGGAAAGGGTGCATAGTTTATTCTTACTGTCATGGGAGGCTAAATAAGAAAATGGGATTGCTGAAAACCTATACAGTGGCTGATAATAATGCTAACCAGTACGTTTTCAAAAATGTTCAAAAACAATGAGACAGGCTGAGTACTGTAGCCTATTCTACCTGGCTAGGTGTTTGTAAGCTTCTCATTAATTTTCTTTTAAAAGGTTAAACCCAATCTATCTGATCCTAGTGAAAGAAGTATGTTCCTATGGGGGTATAAATGTGGGCGTAAAAGTATTCAAAACTAAATATTCCAGCAACCATGGATAATGATTTTCTTTTTAAAGCACTGGTTCTTCAACACTAACAAAATATTAGAATTAACTGGGAAACTTTAAAAAAAATATACTGATGCCAGAACACAGTCTCAAACCAATAATGACAGAATCTCTGAGGGATGAGGCATCGGGCATCATAAATTTTTTTATTTTTAAGTTTCTTGCAGTGGTTTGAGAACCACAACTACTACTGGAGAATATGAAGATCCATATTCATCTTGCCCCTCCCTGAATTCATGATATATAATCATCTGACAATTCCTCACCACATTTGAAATGAACAGGAACTTAAAAAAAAAAAAGGAATGCCTCAGCACCACTCCCCAGGCAGTCTGATTCAAGTGAGCTGGAGTGGGGACCAATTATGCTATTTTTCAAAAGGCTCCCAGGTGATTCAAATGTGCAGGGAACAATGAGAACCCTGATATAGGAAGAATTTATGGGTTCTTGTACTAAAAATGAGTGCTATCATTTCATGGAATTTTTTTCTGAATCAGAAATCAAAGATTGTTTGTTTACCAAATTCTAGTCTTTTAAAGTAGCTAAATAGATTATTTAACTTCAGTTTCACACACTTAGCAATACATATTTGTACTAAGCATTTCCATGTCCTTGCCTATGGTTTGTCTCGTAATTAGTTTATTTCTTCTGATTTTCCTACTAAAATGCCATCTTCAAAATATATGAGTCACAATGTTGTCAACACATTTTCATTCAGTTATGTTGTATAAGAAGGTTATTTCTACTAATAGAGACAATGTTTCTTCTTAATTAGAAAAGCAAATCAAATCTTAGTTATGACTTCTTTGGGGGAAAGAAATGGGTTTTAACGTGATTTCTTTTTGTTTAATTAAGCACAGGCCAGTCTTACATGTAAATATTCTTTCTCCCTTTAAAACCTGCAAGCTTTAGAGTTAATGATCTTAACAGATTGGTAAGATATACAAAGGGATAGATTGGGTTAAGGTCTCTGCCAATCCTTATTAATGAAATCAGATAAAGCAGTAAGGAAGGTTTTGCCATAGAATAACTGGAGTTGACATATATTTGATTATTACAAATTTTCTCTTTATAATTACCAAAACAAGGATATGAGTAACATACTCACGGAGGATTTTCAAAGTTCTACCTGACTGCCGCCCTCTTCTTTGAGCTCTTATTTTTAAAACTTTCAAATTATCTGAAGTGTGCTCTTGATGGGCTCTTCAAGATAATACATGTAATTGGTATATACTGTGATGTGACAAACATAAAACAGATTAAGGAGCCCATTATTTTATCTTCACCTACAGTCAGCTTTCAAAGCCTAATCTCATATCACAAAAGCTGACTTGCTTGAAGTCACTTCTACTATATATAACTGATAAACAAATTAAGAAAACAGTCAAAATAACCTACCTTGAGAAATATCCTCTATAGCTCTTCGAATGCCTCTATCAAAAGCCCTAGCATCAGCAGGACTTTGAAAGGTAAGACCAAATTTCTTGTCATCAATCTTCCAGTGGTGAAATGTTGGAGTGACCTTATTGTAAATGAGGTCTTTTTTAAGCATACATTCCAAAACCACCTGCCAAAAGTTAAATGCCAAAATTACTATACATATATCAAATGCATCTAATGTAGCTCTTAAATACAAAGGCAGGTGAGAAAAGAGCTGTTATATTTTAATAAAAGCACTCCCAACCCATTAATACAGAGGTCTTGCTACTTAACCTACTCACAAAGTCACTCAATACAGAAATTAAGATGGGATTAAAGAAGATTCTGGGAAGATGGCAGCAGGCACCATCTTCTCACCATTCTGGAAAGATGGCAGGAGGCAAGACGCACCAGGAAATCTGTCTCCCTACCTAGACAAAACTGACTGGCAGAATCTGTCTGCTGTGACTATGTTAGAACTCGACAGAGTCTGTTGAAAGCTTGTAACTTCCAGGGAAGACACGGGCAGTAAATTGCAGTTAATTTTGTCTATTTCAGGTAGTAGCACAGTAGCAGCACCTCCTTCATCCCAACTCCCAGCCATAGGGCAGGGAGCCCTGCACATGCAAATTACAGAAGCCATGGTAGGTAAAAAGGACCTTATCCTCCAAGTATCAGGGATCGGTGCTCTCATCACTAATTGCTGCTTCTGATCACAGAGGTGCAGACAAAGAGGAGGGTAGCCATTTGCCACTGTTGTATCTTCCCTCATTGTTGCAAGTTCCTCTGCATCAGAACGAAGTGACTTTCAAGGTATTTAAAAAGCCAGCTCCCTTTTTTATCTGTCATTTATCACTTTTTCCCATGATGGGAGCCAGACATTGAAGACTAGGACATTTAAAAATAACTACATATACAGGAAGAATTAGAAAGTGACTATGCATATCCAGGGAAAGGCTCAGAAAAGACATGAAAAAACCTTAAATTTACACCTCAGGCTGATCCTTGGCACAGAGACAACCTACAACAATCAAAAAAAAAACAAAAACAAAAACAATAACAAAAATTAGGAAACTCCAAGGAAGGGAATAATCTGATTTCCATATTACCATATTCCAAGTTACCATATTATGATTTAAATGTCCAGTGTTCAACAGAAAAATCCCAAAGCATTCAAAGATTCTCCATATCTTATTTAGCTCTTTGAGCATCTTTACAACAGTTTTTCTTAATAAGTCTTTGTCTAATGATCTGCCGTTGGGTCTTTTCTGGGACATTTTCTGTTGATTTCTTTTTGTTTCTCTCAGTAGGTCATATAGCAAAGTATGACATAAAACAATGTATGAACAAAATGGAAATAACAATAAAGAGATAGAAAATCTAAAAAGAAACTAAAAAATTCTGAAGCTGAAAAGTAAATAACTAAAATGAAAACTCCAATTAGAGGGATTCAAAAGCAGATTTGAGTAGGCACAAAAAATAAACAGTGAACTGGAAGATAGGACAACAGAAATTAGAGTCTGAGAAGCAGAAAGGAAAAAGACTGAAGAAACACAAACAGAGTCTAAGAGACCTACAGGCAGCATCAAGAGGACCAACATACACATCGTGGGAACTAGAAGAAGAACAAGAAAGGGGCAGAGAGAATATGTGAAGAATGGTTGAAAACTCCCCAAATTTTATGAAAGTCATGAACATAAACATCCAAGAAGCTCAACAAACTTTGAAGAAGATGAACTCAACAGGCCACACAGAGACACAGAGATTCTTCAAAGTAGCAAGAGAGAAGTGAATTATCACATACAAGGAATCCTCAGTAAGAACATCAGCAGATTTCTCTTCAGAAACTTTGGAGGCTAGAAGATAGTGGGTGGACATATTCAAAGTGCTGAAAGAAAAAACTGTCAACCAAGAATTCTATATTTGGCAAAAATATCCTTCAAAAGTAACGAAGAAATTAAGCCATTTCCAGATAAACAAAAGCTAAGGGAGTTTGTTTCCACTAGATCTGCCCTGCAAAACATGCAAAAGGGAGACCTACACGGTGAAATAAAATGACATAAGAAAGTAAATTTAAGCCATATAAAGAAATAAAGGTAAATATAAGGACAATTATAAAAGCAATATTTTTAACATTGGTTTGAAACTCTACTTTATGTTTTCTATAAAATTTAAGAGAGACTATTACATTTAAAGAAAACAATGAATTATTAGTGTAAAAGCTAAGTATTGCTGTAACTGTGGTGTATAACTCCAAATATTGTTTTCTACAAAATTTGAGAAACTAATACATTTAAAAGAAGTATTAATTTATGTTTCTGGGCAAACAGAGTATAAAGATGTAATTTATCAACAAATGAAAGGGGTGGGGTCAAAGCTGTAAAGAAACAGTTTTTGTATGTTATTGAAGTTAAGCTAGTTTAAATCCCAATTAGTGTTATAACTTTAGGATGTTAAGTGCAACCTCCATGGTAACCACAAAGAAAATAGCTATAGAATATAAATAAAAGGAAATGAGAAAGGAATTTAAACATTTTGTTACAATCAACTAAACACAAAGGAAGATACGAATGCAGGAAATGAGGGAGAAAAGGCTACTAGGGACACACAAAGACAGCAAAATCACAGAAGTCCCTCCTTATCAGCAATTACTTTAAACGTAAATGGATTTAACTGTCCAACCAAATGACAGAGATTGGCAGAGCAAATAAAAGCACAACCAAATACACAAACAGGTTGAAAGTGAAAGGATGGAAAAAAACATTCCATGCAAAGAGCAACCAAAAAGGATCAGGGGTGGCTATACTAATATCAGACAAAATAGACTTTAAATAAAAACGGACATTATAATAAAAATATTATATATTAATAAATGGTTCAATAAGGCAAAAAGATACAACAATAAACATTTAGGTACTTAGTAACAGACCATCAAAATATATAAAGCAAAAACTGACACAACTGAAGGGAGAAACACAGTTCTACAGTAATAGTTGGAGATGTCAATACCTCACTCACATAATCAACAGAAGAGCCAGACAGAATATAAAGATATAGAGAATTTAACATAGTAAACCAACTAGACCAAACAGACATATACAAAACACTCTACTCAGCAACAGAACACACATTTTTCTGAAGTGCACATGGGATATTTTTCAGGACAGACCATATGTTAGGCCACAAATTAATCTCAATATAATAAAAAATATGGATATCATACAAAGTATCTTTGGCCACAATAAGATGAAATTAAAAATCAATAACAAAAGGACAACTGGAAAATTTTTTAAATTTTGGGAATTAACCAACTGATCAAAGAAGAAATCATAAGGGAAATTACAAAATACTTAGAGAGCGAAAACACAACATATCAAAACTTAGAGCACACAGCGAAAGCAGTACTAAGGGGAAAATTTAGAAACACCTGCATTAAAAAAAAAAAGAAAGAAAAATCTTAAATCAACAACATAACTTGACAATTTAAGGAACTAGAAAAGAAGAACAAACTAAACTCAAACCTAGCAGAAGAAAGGAAATAATAATGAGGGCAGAAACAAATTAGAGAGCAGAAAAATAATAGAGAAAATCAATGAATCCAACAGTTGGTTCTTCAAAAAGATTTTAATAAGTCCTTTAGCTAGAAGGACTAAGAAGAAAAAGAGAGAAGATGCAAATTGACACAAATTATAAAAATCAGAAATGAAAGTGGAGACATTACCATCAATTCTACAGAAATAAGAAGCATTATAAGAGAGTACTATGAACAACTGTACACCAACAAGTCAGATAACCTAGATTTAACAGACAAATTACTAGAAACATAAAACAGACCAAGACTAAATCAGAAATAAATAGAAAATTTGAATAGATATACAGCTAGTAAGTAGATTGGATCAGTAATTAAATGTCTCTCAATAAAGAAAAACCCTGGACCTGATGGCTTCACTGGTGAATTATATCAAACATTTAAAGAACTAATACCAATACTTCAAACTTTCCCAAAAGATTGAAAGAGTAAACACTTCCTAACTCATTCTATGAGGACAGCATTGTGCTGATACCAAAGCCAAAGACATTACAAGAAAACTATGTATCAATATCCTTTATGAATACTGATGCAAAAAATCCTCAACAAATGCATGCAAGGATGGTTAAACACATGAAAGCTGATCAATGTAATATCCTACTTGAACAGAATAAAAGGGAAAAAAATCCACATGATCATCAAAATTGATGCAGAAAAAGCATTTAACAAAATTCAACATCTTTTCATGATAAAAATACCTAACAAGAACTAGAAGGAAACTACCTCAACATATTTGACAACAGTGCCAAGACCATTCAGTGGAAGAAAGGAAAGTCTTTTCAACAAATGGTGCTGGGAAACTGGATGTGCACAGGCAAAAGAATGAAGTTGGACCCTTATCTAACACCACAGGCAATAATTAACTCAAAATGTATCAAGGACCCTAAGCAGACCTAAAACGATAAAAGTCCTAGAAGAAAACAGGACAAAAAATGTCATATGTGAATGTCAATGTCATTTCATGACATTGGATTTGGGAATGTTTTATTGGCTATGACACCAAAGGCACAGGTAACAAAAGAAAAAATAATGGTGCACTACTAATCACTTCTTCCCAAATCCACATGCAGTGACGTTATATTGACTGAAAACTGCCACGGTGGGAGTATGTTAAGCTATAAAGCATTTCCTCTCTCCAATCCCCCCGCCATCCCCCACCAAAAGCTGATTGTTAAATTTTACCAGCCTGTCACTGAATATCTGTGATAGTTAAGTCTTGTTATTCTGAAATAAGTAACAAAGAAGGTAACAAAATAATGTCCTACTTGCTTACAGGCAAAGTGTGTTAGCACTTGGCATTTAACAAAGATTTAACTATCTGTTGCAACAATCATTTTGCAATAATAATAATAAAATTCATAAATATATTAGGTTTTGGAATTCAAGAAGTTAAAATTGGCATTATGGATTACTGCAACATATTTACTGTATTCATAAACAGTGGGAAAGAGATATGTATTTTAGAAAACTGCTAAATTGCAATTGTTAAAAAAGAGAAGGACATAAAAAATGGAGTTTGGTCCTACAGTCATTATTACATGAAAATGTCACTAAATTAA